ATATTTTAAAATTTTATTAAAATAACATTTCTTTCTTTCTCTTTTACTACGTTTTTCAAAAATTATTCTAAGAAAAATATATGTCACGCATTTTTAATAATTTTATTTTATCTAGTTAAAAGAAATTTTGATAATTTGAATAAAAATGAATAAAATAAAATATAAAAATATATAATAAATTGATTGCACAAAAATATTGTTATTTATATAAAAATATAAATAAAGAAATTATTATATATAAATTTTTCTTATTATTACTCGCCGTTTCAAATTCGATTCGATGGTTTTAATTTTCGTTGATTGATGTCTTCATCAAAAAAATTATGTTAGCGGAAACTGCAGTTGCATTTGATTAGATAAAAACTCTGGTAAGGATTAAAAATATATATGATATAGTCGAGAGGTGACTAATGTGAATGCTTTAATACTTTTCAGCTTTATATTTATTAATATGTACAATTTATTAAATATACGTGAAATACACTTATTGTTAGTATAATTATGTGCTACCGATAATAATTCAATTGTCTTACAAAGTAACATACAAGAACCGTTTTAATTTTTACTTTAAATTTTACCGAAGGATCAATCCTATATGTAGAATAGATAAAGAATATTTTTCAATATCTTTTAATTGTAAGATTGTTTTGAAAGTAACAATTTTATCTGTATGTTATATAAGATATGTACGGTCATCTATTATATTTCTTTCATGATAGAGTCTCTAAATAATTTCGAGAACCGATCTTTCGTCAAAGAAAATAATGAAATTTCATTATTTTTTGTGTATTGAAAATAAGATAAATAACAACATGAGGATATGATACACATGAAACAACTTAACTTCAAACTTTGGAAACGAAAATTTGCGACTCATTTAGTCTTATCGATCTTCAATTTCTGCTTTAGAAAATAGTGCAATTGTTCCCCTGATGACGCATTTTGCTGCTCTTCGGCATGGTGAATCCCGGACAGCACTGGTCCTGCTGCATCAGCAACTGGGAATTGCTGAGATCGCTACTGATCGCCGCGCATTCGCTGTTGTCACCAGCTGTTATATTGGCGCTATTCTTTCGCGTCTGCGATGATTCCAGTGACAGATTTGACTCGTCCTCGGAACTCTGCGAAGACGAAGACGAGGATGAAACGGCATTGATCTTCACCTCCGGTTTCACGTGCACGCCGGCCGACCGATTCTCCGCGCGCGGCGACAAACTGTCCCGGTGCTGCCGGAAATGCTCCTCCGTGTCGCTCAGGAGAGAACTGAACATATCGGAGGCGTTCCTGACGCCCATCGCGCCCATAGAATTCGATCGACACTCTGCGAAAGAAAAATATGTTTATCGCGATGAAAAAAATGGGATACCATTTATATTAAAAATTGCGAAGAGGGCAAATTTTCTACCTCGAATTTCCATATTCTTTGTCGGCGAGTTTGCGACCGATCGTCGCGCGACATCGTGAAAAGTAATGGGGGAATATATTCTTCTGTCTTCGGAAAAAAATCCGGACGATTCTGGTGGCGTCGGAGAAGACATCTTCGACGAGCCTCGTCTCGACGACGCATCTTTCGAAGTTGATTTATCAAATATGCCTGGACTTATCAGACCTATCGCGCCCACTGTGGAAACTCTTTTCTCAAAACTCCTTGTATGCCATTGATGAGGTTCCTGTAAAGTGATACCCTTGGTCGTGAAGGAACGCTTTTCTCGCTTTTCCAGCCAATAGGTCTTCATCGTACCTATCGATACACAATATAGTGGAGAATTATACACGAGGATTAAAGACACATTTCACGAACAACATCTCACAGAGCAGGATCAGGAGATAATCTTACCTTTTCCTTTGACCTCGATTTCTCCGCGCTCCTTAACTTTGAATGAGGATGATAGCAGTTCCCGAGTAGATTCGGATATGTGTATCTGCATGGACTGGCTAGTCGCTTCCATACGGGCTGCCGTATTGACGGAATCGCCGAAGAGACAGTATCGCGGCATCTTCAAGCCAACGATACCGGCCACAACTGCGCCGCTATGAATGCCAACGCGTATCTGAAGATGATTGCCTGTGAAAATTAATGTGTGTTTAAAAAAAAATGGACAATCTTTTTTTCTTTTTTGTACCTGTCGAACGATCCTTGAGATCGGTTATTGCCTCGACCATATCGAGAGCCATATCGCATACGCGATCCGCATGATCGTTTTCCTTTACCGGCGCACCAGAGACTACCATGTAAGCATCACCGATGGTTTCGACCTTGGATAAAAAGAGCACAGAAATAGTATTAGTATTTACTTTACAAAAGTAATTTTTGAATGTAAAATTATATTTCAATGATTTATGTTAAACTTAATTAAAAATTAAATAAAAATTAAATGAAATTTTACACGTTATTAAATTTTACGTCACCATCGGATTAGTAATGAGATTTGAGAATCAGGCGCGCGTCACAAGATTGAACCACATTTTTCGAAAAATTACAATCGATATTCTTTCTTGGAGTACCTAAAGAATACCTTGTACACTCGGTTTCTCTCGGTCAAAGTGTCAAACAGCGAATACATGGCATTCAACATGGACACAACTTCCATCGGCGTGATTCTACTGCAGATTTCGGTGAAGGTCACCACGTCCGAAAACAAGATCGACACGCTGTCGAACATCTGTAAGTAGATAAAATACGAATATGTCTTGAAATAATTTATTGTTACAAAAGACACACGATTAACTATTCTTATGTTTTATATTAGATAATACAAGATGCCGGCTTTGCTTTTGGGGAATCTTCTATTTTGCTTCATACAATGACAATTAATAATATAGACGAACTAAAAGAGAAAAAATTTTCCTCTATTCTAATTAATCGTACTTCGCAAGTATCAATCGGACTTTCACCGTTCCTCAAACGGTCCGCGACTTGTTTGGGAATCATCTGGTACAGTAATTCGTCGGTACGTTTCATCTCCTCGTCCAGTTTTCTCATGGATTCCTCTAACTTTTTACTCTTAAGCTGTTCTTGATCTAACGCTAGTTTCAGCTCCACGGACTGTTGAGTCCCAGCTAGCATGAGATCTCTGCAAAATCGTCAAGTCAATAGTTAGATTGTTTAATCGATAGCAAATCACTACAATTTCGCGATGAGTTCAATTTTTAATACAAGTATTACAATACGATATAGATAACACGATCAAATCCTATAATAGCAAAATTTTTTTTCTTTATATAAGCCGTTTTATTTGATTTTTTTACCGGCTGAAATCATGCATCGAGAGATCATTTATGTAGAGGCCTGTCGCTATTAAAGCGTTCAAATCGGGCATGACTGGTGTACCGAGATACATCATCATTTTCCAATTGTCCATGTATATCATTTGACCTGGAAAAGATGTTATTAATGATGAAAATCTTAAATTTTTCTTTGTTAAATCTTTTACATTCATATTCCATATTTTATTTTCTGACACAAATCGATTATTTCATTTCTGCATATAATAAAAACAGAGATAAGGAGAGAATGTCTTAATTTCAATTAGTAAAAAATAAATAATATATTTCACTATATAAATATATCTGACTTTACTCTAATAACTAATTTGTAATTCTATATTCTATATCTTTTAATTTAATCAATATAATTAAATTTTTGAAATTAAATTTAATAAGAACAATGAATGTACCTTTTAACCGTAAACTTTTATCTTCTATGGTGTCAAGCTCGTCGCTCAAGAGAATTTCATTCCTGTGTTGATCATTCAATCGTTCCGTAAGCACCGGATCAACAGTAACCAACTCGAAAATGTTATTCGTTCGGTTCAATATCTAAATCGTAAATTAACTATTTATTTTACTTGAAAAACGCTTGAAATTATAGAAGAAAACTGATGTTTATCCGAGAATTATAAAATCTTTAATGTGGGATATCTCAGATTCAAATATGATATATATTATATGTTATATGTTAGATCTTAGAAAAAGTTTTAATTTAAATTAATTTTATTGAAAATACTTTTTAGGAACGTGGTTTAAATAATTGTTTATTGGATCTTCCGAATTTTCTACTTGTTACATTTATCGAACTTACCGATTGAAATTTGAACGCGATAAGCGGTCGAACCAGATCGAAGAAGTATGTGATCTTCTTGCCAACCAGATCTGGAAGTATGACCATTAACGAATTGCCGATGTTTCTAACTACCATATCCGAGCTGAAATTTAAATATCGATTGACTATACAACATTTACGTACTTTACATATTTTTAACTAATTCCACGTAAGTTGTTTTTTATTAAAATCTTTGTAATAATTATCGAGCTATGGCTGGAATTTGATTTAAAATAAAAAAATTTATAATCTGCTTCTAATAACATTGAACTGTTCAAGTGTAATGTCATTAGCACGCACCCGAAGACGATGCAGAAGGGAAATATCTCAAAAAGCACGCACGCCCCGATCGGCAGGTGCTTCTCTTCGCGAGTCATCGCAAGTGAGGCGAGCGTGAAAGCACGATTATCGAAGGTGAGCTGAAAGGTCACGTGCACGGTGTCGAACAGCACCTCCTCGCGCACCAGCTCGATCTGCAGCTCCTTGTGATAAAAGTGCCGAGCCACTTCCCTTATCTGGCCCATCGTGTAATAGACGAAACCCCGGCGTTTGCTCCGATAATGAAGGGTCAAACCTGTATTCATCAGTCTTTAAAAAATTTAGACTCCAAAATATTACAGCGCAAGAGAAGGAGACAATATATATTGTCTCTTTGATTTCATCTCTTATTTATAATGCGAATAAGGGATGATTAGCAATGAAAGAATTCTCTCATTGAAATGCCAAGCTGACTCTTGGCTGACGTCTTGCATTCACCTTGGCGTGTTTCGTTTTCGCAGATGAACGACGGCGCTCGCATCCTCGGGTAGGAGAACTTGAGATACTCATGGAGATTGTCCAGGCCGTTGAGGAAGTCCCTCACGTGTCGTCCAAGTACCGAGAGCACGCGATCGTAACCGTACTGACCGACGAATCCTACGAAGTGCACGCCCATCTGATCGAAGAACTCCTTTTCCGTCACGCCGAGTATCTAAGGTAAGTGCATTCGAATTTTTTGGAACAATTTGCTACGGATAAAGCAAACCCTGCATGAAAGATTTTGCAAAACTGAATATATTTTATATAATAATATTTAAACGTATTTAAACATTCGCAGTGTATGTCTGCTCATGTCTATGCAATATATATCAATTATATACACGATATCAATTATAAATTAAACGTTTGAAAATAGAGGGAATAGTATTAAACACTGGTAACTTTACTAGATACTTCATATTTTTTGTCAATATGCAAATCATTTTTATACAATATAAAATATGAAATATTTAGACTTTGTAAAGTATCCAGTTTTTTTCTAACGTCTAAATATATACTGAAATATATCAGAAAAAAATGATTAAGCTGTTGCGAATTGCTTACCTGAATCGCTTTTTTTGCCAATCTTGGTATCAGGTTCTCCGGATAAACTTGGTGAACGCTAAAGCTCGGCTGATCCACAGACGCCTGCCTGCGAATCTCTTCCCATCTATCTTCGCCGTAAACCTGCCTTATGTATTCGGCCAGGTTTTCCAAGATTAGACCATACATGGTTTCTCTTTAAACAAGTTCTATCGAAAACACGTAAGTTTTTACTAATAAAATCTCGCACGTCTACGTATAATATTTAGAATGTATTAAATTCATATTTATATACAGGGTGTTTCTAAACATGTGCGAAAAAATTCGGAAGATGATTCCTTGAATAATTTTTTGAAGAGAAGTTCGTATATAAACTTCTCTGGGATCATCTTAAATCCTTAATTTATATCACCCCAATTGAAAATATTGAAGATTTAAGGAATCGCAAGCAGAATTTAATGAATCAGAAGCAGAAAAGTTTCATGTGTTATGGCTGAAGGTGCTTATTTCCAACAATTCCTATAATTCTTTAAAATTTTGTTTTTGACAAAATATATTTTTTGAGATCTCATTTTTTTAACTTTGAACACTCTGTAACTCAAAAACTATGCCGTTTAAGACATTGGTGTATATGAACTTTTTTTCATGAAATTACCTAAAAAATCAACTCCCAAAATTTTTCGTACATGTTTAGGAATATCTTATTTATACAATATATGCATTTTTAAAATGGCCACTTTTTTTTCAAATGACGCTTTTATGTGACACATACACACACAGACATGACACATCCTTTCCAAAAGAGTATCTTTGTAAAATCAGCATCTAGCAAACGTCAAATGTGTACTTTTATGATGAGTATGCGCACAATCTCTTTAATTTTTGACGATACTCCGAGGATGCTCATCGCGAGTCTCAATCACCATGATTACTAACCTTGCTTATTAAAAGGACGGGATCTGATACGTGTGTGTGTGTGTGTGTGTGTGTGTGTGTGTGTGTGTGTGTGTGTGTGTGTGTGTGTGTGTGTGTGTGTGTGTGTGTGTGTGTGTGTGTGTGTGTGTGTGTGTGTGTGTGTGTGTGTGTGTGTGTGTGTGTGTGTGTGTGTGTGTGTGTGTGTGTGTGTGTGTGTGTGTGTGTGTGTGTGTGTGTGTGTGTGTGTGTGTGTGTGTGTGTGTGTGTGTGTGTGTGTGTGTGTGTGTGTGTGTGTGTGTGTGTGTGTGTGTGTGTGTGTGTGTGTGTGTGTGTGTGTGTGTGTGTGTGTGTGTGTGTGTGTGTGTGTGTGTGTGTGTGTGTGTGTGTGTGTGTGTGTGTGTGTGTGTGTGTGTGTGTGTGTGTGTGTGTGTGTGTGTGTGTGTGTGTGTGTGTGATGTCAGGTATGTGTGTGTGTGTGTGTGTGTGTGTGTGTGTGTGTGTGTGTGTGTGTGTGTGTGTGTGTGTGTGTGTGTGTGTCTGTTCAGCCCCCTGAATTAAAATCAACTTCCCATATGGGTAAGAGAGCGGTTATTATTAGATCGTTCATAATTTCGCTCACGTATGTTGGCTCACGTATGACGATCTCGCGCCGCTGATTTATTTAAGACGTTTCATCAACATCAATAAGATTCAAGCTTTGGCTATTCGCGGGTCGCAAACGCATCCTTTGAATTGAAATCTTCCCGATATGATTATTAATCTTAACAATTACAAGCTATTTAAAGATCGTAACTACTTTCTAATACGACAAAACGAAGAAGAAAAAACCGTTTTTTTAATTTCTAAGAACAACTTTTTTAATTGCTTTGAGAATTATGAATATATTAAAATATTTGGAAATAAATTTTTCAATTGCTCGTACATAATAAAAAAGACAACGCGATAAGATAATTTAGGACAAGGACAAAATGTGTCCTTCCTTTTAATGATCTGATAATATCCCTAACCCGAATATAATTTCGATCTTTTTCGCGCTACCTAATATGGTCTATAGACTCTTAACTACGGTTGAATATTTCACTAATAAAGACAAGAGATCATCTCTCGAAGAATAAAATTTATATTTCATATATTCCTATTCTGACATACATCTCATAAAATATTCAATTTTTGATATTTTGTCTTTTGACATTTAGAGCAAATTGAAAAATCATAGAAATTTTAAATCAGTATATAATTCCATTAATATCGTACGAGTCTCGCATGGCAGCGTTTGCACTTCTATTTATATGAAGCTCTTTC